CTGTGGATTTGTTTTCTATTAAAGGGGCTGGTTGGGGAAAAAATGTCATATTTGCTAAAATGGCATACACATGTTTAAAATACCTTCTTATGAAATATACCGATACAAATTTTGCAGAAATTAACTCCCTAAGAGAAAAAAATATAATTATATTAAAGAAATCCTAAATCGTCACCTGACAGTCTAAAACTCTCAATTGACCCAGATCAGTGATGTAATTTTACCGCACGCGCGTCATCAACAAGGCCAAATGTAAACATCGCGGCGAAAGAAAAAGATGCATGCAAATACCGTTATATATAACAACAACATATAGGTAGGAATACTACACTTGCATTATACATGACCTTTGAAAACAATTATTTACGTATAGTATTGCTGTCTTGTCCGCTAGTTGAGTCCGACATGGCACATGACGGCGTGCTATTGTTGTTATCTTCACTGCCTCACTTTCGATACAACCACGTGACATATATGAATAGATCTGCGCTAAATTTACGCGGGGCTTCCCCGATATTTCAGTGGTCAAAACTGGACATTGCAAGCAGAACTCGACCATCATATTGCCGTGGTATAATTTTTGGAAGGCCAGAGAACGCATTTAGACCCATTTATTTTGTATTTTTTCCACGACCAGCCCCTTTAACTTCCATGTATTTTCAGACTGTATGTTAATAGCGATATCAGCTTTATATTACTGTATGGTTTATTGGATTATCACATTTTGTCTGTTGGTGGAATAAACGTTTTTTTCTCACACAGATGGAAAATTTCGAGTGCAGTTACTGCCAAAAGAGCTTTACAAAGTTAGTGAAATAATTCAACATTGCATGCAAGACCGTCGGAACTTAGGAAGAAAGGTTAAACATAGGAAGAATGTTATTATATTTCCAGAAGAGATGAGTCTCCTATATAAATGTATAATGCAAAACGAAGACTTGATCCACTTTTATGTTCCCCGTTTAGAAAATTACTGAAAAAATTATCAACCCAATAGGGACCTGAGAGTGTGTTGCAGCTATATTTGGTCCTAAACTAAGGTGTTCATAGTAATTTGATATGTTTTAGAGGTTTAGATCGACTTTCGGTAAATATGCCGTTCGAACCCCAGTCTGGCCGTTACATTTTCTCGTTCTCCTGTTGCAAAATTGGCAAGCTTGCCAACCCTTGTAAATCTTGGAACATTTCTCATTTTGTCGGTGCTTCAGGACTGTTTTTATTTCTGTTTTTTTTTTTGCCACTGGCACAAAAAGTAAAAATGCAGATAAATTCTTAAGATCGCTTTTTGTTATCAACCAGGATCTGTTAGTGTTTCTAGAGGATGGTATCTTGAAAAAAGACCCTGCATTAAACCGATAGGCCAACGTGTGCATTTATTTTTTCATCGTCAACAATTTCTTTATTTTTTTATTTCCATTTATTTTTCATTTTAAACATATTTTTTTTACCTCGTCTGCATGTGTCACCAATGTTCAATATAAACTTTTAGAGGTAAACACAAGACATTTCTCACAGCACCCTGCATCAAAAATAAATGCACTATATGAAAAATTGACACAGAAATTGTCAGATTGATTAAGTATTTTAACACCAAACTTTTACACAAATACCGTTATTTATTTATTTTTATTAAAATATCTATAGTTCTAAGGGACATCAGTCCTATTATGTCGGAGGAAGCCGAAGTATCCGGGGGGGAAACGCGTGGTCAGGCAGGTGACCGGGAGCGAATCTGGCCATCTCGGTGAAGACGAGCGCGCTTTGCACTGCGCGACCCGAACCACCATATAAGTTACGCACAAGAACAAATATTTGCTTTAGCTTTGAATGGAAGAAAATGGCGTCATTGATGCAAAAATCATATAGTGAATACATTTTTACCAATCATCTATGATACAAAACGTCTACATACGGGAGACCGAGGTAAGTTCGGCCACCCCTGATGTTTTTGTTTTGGAGCTAATATTTACAACTTTAAGGAGGATCTTAGCAGTTAAGTTGACTGGGCTTTCACACGAAAAAATGGCGAGGAAAACTCTAATGTAAAATTTCTAAACAGGAGAAAGTTACTTTTGAGAGGTTAGAAAGGAAATCATCATCATTTTAGTTATGCGAACTTTCTGTAAACGGAAATGCTAGGTTTTTGACGATCAGACGTGGAACACACTGCCAGCTTCAAATGATATACATAAAAGCCTAGCCAAACACTTACTATCATATTGTTGTACTATAGGAATTTATTAAAATATCAATTTGGGCCCGGACAGGTTTGGCCCATGATACCGGGGCAAGTTCGGCCCATGCAACACGTAAAAAGTCGGAAAATTGTCGGGAAAATATGACGTTGCATGCTTTGACGACGTTATTAAGCTGGTTCCAACGGGGTCTAACTTACCCGAATGCCTGTCCGAACTTACCCCATGGCGGGGCTCAGAAGATAGGCTACTGCTATTCATTGCCGCAATGTACATGAAAAAAAATCCATTCAATTCATATATTTACAATATGATGAACTACAATAAATAAAAGTTACCACATTTTTTTGTGAATTTGATATTTCTAATATTAGTATCGGACAGACCCATAGAAAATGAACAGTCATAATTCCTGTTTACACACAAACTTGAAATGTTCGACTTCCGCCGATCATCTGATTTTGTTAAAACGAAAATATATATTTATAATCTAATAACAATCAGCACTTAATATATCTTTCATTTTTGAAAATTGATCTTGTTTGATATTTTTATTTGCATTAAACACCACATATTATATATTTCAAATCATCGGTCACCATAGTAACTATCCAGGACACTCGTCGGCCGAGCACCCGTCGGCAGTAGGCATAGAGCTCATTTGAAGTTAAATGTACAGCCGTTGAATGTACTGTTTACCAAAAAAAGTCTGCAGACGTAAATGATGATAAGTTGGTGGATAAAGTGCCCTGTGCCATTACGAAGTTTTCGGAGTTAAAGTTGCAAGTTGATGTCACGGGGATTACCCAGCCGGACGTTTGGGTGTTAGAAAGTTCGTGACCACGAGGAACCGATTGCGAGTCGGAAGTCAGTATTTAATATGACAATGTTATAAGTAAAAAAATATAATTTTAAATTAGAAAGAATAATAATAATAGTACAATGATGCATCATTTATGATTTTTGTAATGTTTATAATTATTTCTCGCAACTACGTTATCTTGGAGAAGGGAAGATAACTCTTCTCAGAAAAAAGTTCTATGCGTAGTAATATGAAGTGGTCATTGTGTGTGAAATCAGCTGACTGCCTGGTTGCACGAGAATCGTGTTATTCATAGTTTATTCATGGTCTAATGACAGTTGTTTTCAGTTGGTAGATTCATGTACAGAACAAACATCAAGAATGTAAAAATGGGCCGAACTTGGCCCGGTTTCCCCTAATTGTTATGTCGGTCTTAAAATCCCAATTAGCTAGTGTTCTTATCTCATTCTGAAAGCAGTTTTATCTCGTTATGAATCAGTAAATATCAGAGATCAACAAAAGCAACGCTCTTTTTAGGCTTTGCCTTTTCATATTACGATAGAAAGTTTGAAAGGCCACAGCTATACATGCTGCACGTACACGTGGGTGGTCCTTTATGTAATCATAGAATATAGTTGTACGTGTACTGTAGCTCACAAGTACCCGTAAGGTTGCAAAACCTCTGTAATAACAGTCGGAAGCGACTTGTTACCATGTAATAGTTATACAAGGAAATCGCAAGTAATCGACAGTACAATCACTAGTAATCATTGTCAATTTTATCATAACAGATTACGAGCCACGGTTGTTCAAAGTTCAGACATTAACTTAACAGGAATGTGCTTTGATGGTCTCCTCATACACTCTTTATTTATCATCGTCTCTGAATTCAATCGAAATTTATCAGATTTATTATTAGAAATTATATCGACTCGGATATCAGCGCTTGTGATTAAAAGATTAAGAAGAGATTATGGAAATATGTGACATTTTATCGCGTTCAAAAGTTGCAAATAAGTATCCGTTTTGACTGATTACACAACACGGGTAGAGATTTAAATAATCCAAATTTACCTCGACTGGCGGTGTCCAACAACGTTATTTATTTAGCTCTCGCTTCGGTGATCGCTATTTCCAGAACCTATACACCGTTCGACCAAAGTGTAAACACTCGTGAAATATTTTTGTAAACATGCATTTATTTACACAGCATGTCTGCAGTATTTAGTGGATTAAGAAGGTGGTATTGAGTGTTTCTAGTTTATAGGTAGTCTTTACACAAAAACACTGACAAAAATATCAACTGAGCTTTAAAACAAATCAATAAATTGCAACTATCTGTCTAGCCGAGACCGGTGATAGACGCCTGGTAGAAAGGGAAATAACTCGTAAAAATGGGCGAGCGATGTCGAGATACACCGACTTCTTTTGAATTTCCCTCAGGAAGGAACAAAAACCTCTAGTTTCATTACTTTTAGTTAGTCAATGAAATATAGAAATACTTTTTTCTTTACAAAGATCATTCAATTATTCTTTTGTTCAAGAGCGTGACTTAGGAAAACAAACTTAAAAAAAAGAAACGCAATTTAACAGATACATGCTTAAAGAGACACCTAATGGTTCTAGAGTCCTCGAACCCACGCCTAGTCCGCCACTGATTTTAGTACCTATAAAATATCTACAATAGTAAAGTGTTGTGATCCAGATGTCATCGTAATAGACACGTGGTAGCTGTAGACATATTCTAGATATAGGTGAGTTGATTAAGACTCTTGATTGCCATGATGAAATAAAGATGATAGTTACATAAACTGACGTGGTAATACATGTTACAACACGTACGCAGGGTCCACGCGTCAACCATTGAACATTATATAGAGAGAGTAACACGTAATCATGACCTTTGACCGCGAATTCCTTTCAACCCATCTGTTGCGCGGGACAGACAAAAGCAATCGATAAGAAACAATAAACGTTTTCTTCCTTCATGTACACGTTTATAGAAATACAAATCTTCGACCCGCTGGAGTCCGATTTACTATATACACCAGCTCACCAGCTGGCGACGTGGCATACACTGTACACACGAGCTATTTAAACCGTACTCGCGGACATTAAGGATTAATTGAGACTGTTTTTAGGTTTTCTAAAATTTTGATAAGTGAACTCTAGAGGTAACGCCGTACACCGCATTCTTATATCATGAGGTGCCAGTGAAACTTGTGACAGGAAAAGTCAGTGTCATCTTATGTCAATTTCAGTGAAACGAACATCGGTTGCTACCGTTTAAGTGTATGAAAAAAAACTCTACAATGGGATTGTCAACGTTTCTACTCGTTGTTTTCACAGCTTGTAACACTTTTCTTCCAATTTACGGAAAGGTAGGATTTCCGAAGAGCATGGGTATGGATCATCAGTTCCCGCCGACGATCACCCGCCCGGTAGGAGGCATTCCGATCGGACATCTACGACCTTTGGGTAGGTTAGGACGATACAATGGCAGATCCGGGTTTTTTCCGGGGAGACATTCACGTAATTCAGGGATGAATAACAAGGATAAAGCATGTATACATAGGAAAGATAAAAATCTATATTATCGATGTATCTGAATACGTACTTCACAAATGTGGTCGTGACGTGGTAGACCCGCCCACCCTGTACGTGATACCCTGGTGCATGCATGTTCATTATTGTGAATCCGAATGTGAGAATAATGATCTCAACAGTTCACACGAACAATACTTAGATATATATGTCGCAAAAAGCTACGTACCCCCCCCCCCCACCACCTCCGTACTATTTAGGACCTTCCCCCCCAAAAAAAGAACCCCACGTACTGCACCCCTACCGTACTGTTCACCCCACCCAAAAAAACGTACTGCACCCCCACCATACTGTTCAACACACCCCAAAACACGAACTGCATCCCAACCCTAACCCCCCCCCCCACCGTTCATTTACCCCACCCCAAAACATGTACTGCAAACCCCCCCCCCCCCCCGTTATTTTTCCCCCCCCCCCCCCAAAAAATGTACTGCCAACCCCCCCCCCCCCCCGTTATTTTTCCCCCCCCCCCCCCAAAAACACGTACTGCCCCCCCTCCCCCTACCGTACTGTTCAACACCCCCCAAAACACGAACTGCGTCCCAACCCTAACCCCCACCCCCACCGTTTATTTACCCCACCCCAAAACACATACTGCACCCACACCGTACTGTTCAACACACCCCAAAACACGAACTGCGTCCCAACCCTAACCCCCACCCCCACCGTTCATTTACCCCACCCCAAAACACAAACTGCACCCCCACCGGACTGTTCCGCCCACCCCAAAACACGCACTGCACCCCCACCGTACTGTTAAACCCACCCCAAAACACGCACTGCACTCCCTCCCCCTACCGTACTGTTCAACCCACCCCAAAACACGAACTGCATCCCAACCCCCACCCCCACCGTTTATTTACCCCACCCCAAAACACATACTGCACCCACACCGTACTGTTAAACCCACCCCAAAACACGCACTGCACCCCCACCGTACTGTTCACCCCACCCAAAAACACGTACTGCACCCCCACCGTACTGTTCAACCCACCCCAAAACACGTACTGCACCCCCACCGTACTGTTCAACACACCCCAAAACACGAACTGCATCCCAACCCTAACCCCCACCCCCACCGTTCATTTACCCCACCCCAAAACATGTACTGCAAACCCCCTCCCCCCACCGTACTGTTCACCCCCCAAAAAGCCCCACGTACTGACTCCCCACCGTACTGTTCACCCCCCCCAAAAACACGTACTGCACCCCCCCCCCTTTCCCCTTCCGTACTGTTCATCCCACCCCAAAACACGTACTGCCCCCCCTCCCCCTACCGTACTGTTCACCCCACCCCAAAACACGTACTGCACCCCTACCGTACTGTTCACCCCACCCCAAAACACGCACTGCACTCCCTCCCCCTACCGTACTGTTCACCCCACCCAAAAACACGTACTGCACCCCCCCCCCTTTCCCCTTCCGTACTGTTCATCCCACCCCAAAACACGTACTGCCCCCCCTCCCCCTACCGTACTGTTCACCCCACCCAAAAACACGTACTGCACCCCCCCCCCTTTCCCCTTCCGTACTGTTCATCCCACCCCAAAACACGTACTGCCCCCCCTCCCCCTACCGTACTGTTCACCCCACCTAAAAACACGTACTGCACCCCCTCCCCCTACCGTACTGTTCACCCCACCCAAAAACACGTACTGCACCCCCCCCCCTTTCCCCTTCCGTACTGTTCATCCCACCCCAAAACACGTACTGCACCCCCTCCCCCTACCGTACTGTTCACCCCACCTAAAAACACGTACTGCACCCCTCCCCCTACCGTACTGTTCACCCCACCCAAAAACACGTACTGCACCCCCCCCCCTTTCCCCTTCCGTACTGTTCATCCCACCCCAAAACACGTACTGCCCCCCCTCCCCCTACCGTACTGTTCACCCCACCTAAAAACACGTACTGCACCCCCTCCCCCTACCGTACTGTTCACCCCACCTAAAAACACGTACTGCACCCCTCCCCCTACCGTACTGTTCACCCCACCCCAAAACACGTACTGCACCCCCTCCCCCTAACGTACTGTTCACCCCACCTAAAAACACGTACTGCACCCCTCCCCCTACCGTACTGTTCACCCCACCCCAAAACACGTACTGCACCCCTACCGTACTGTTCACCCCACCCCAAAACACGCACTGCACTCCCTCCCCCTACCGTACTGTTCACCCCACCTAAAAACACGTACTGCACCCCTCCCCCTACCGTACTGTTCACCCCACCTAAAAACACGTACTGCACCCCCTCCCCCTACCGTACTGTTCACCCCACCTAAAAACACGTACTGCACCCCCTCCCCCTACCGTACTGTTCACCCCACCTAAAAACACGTACTGCACCCCTCCCCCTACCGTACTGTTCACCCCACCCCAAAACACGTACTGCACCCCCTCCCCCTAACGTACTGTTCACCCCACCTAAAAACACGTACTGCACCCCCTCCCCCTACCGTACTGTTCACCCCACCCAAAAACACGTACTGCACCCCCCCCCCTTTCCCCTTCCGTACTGTTCATCCCACCCCAAAACACGTACTGCACCCCCTCCCCCTACCGTACTGTTCACCCCACCTAAAAACACGTACTGCACCCCCTCCCCCTACCGTACTGTTCACCCCACCGAAAAACACGTACTGCACCCCCTCCCCCCACCGTACTGTTCACCCCACCGAAAAACACGTACTGCACCCCTCCCCCTACCGTACTGTTCACCCCACCGAAAAACACGTACTGCACCCCCTCCCCCCACCCGACCGTTCCCCCCCCCCCCAAAACCCCTTCCGCACCCCCCCCCCCTACCGTACTGTTCACCCCACCTAAAAACACGTACTGCACCCCTCCCCCTACCGTACTGGTCACCCCCCCCCAAAACACGTACTGCACTCCCTCCCCCTACCGTACTGTTCACCCCACCCCAAAACACGTACTGCACTCCCTCCCCCTACCGTACTGTTCACCCCACCTAAAAACACGTACTGCACCCCCGACCCCAACTGTTTCTTATCGCGCTCACTGTAATCATATAGCGATTTTCAGTATCTAAATACAATTTCATTTCATTTAAGAATCACACATATTTTCTATATTTCGAAGGTTTTTTTCAAGTTTTATGACGAAATTCAATAGTATTTACTGGTATGTATTGTTATAAATGTATATGGAAACCAGTCAAAACCATTCGGTATTTCCTAATAACGATGCCTAATAACTATGAAATAGCTGTAAGATCTTATAAGATAACGATCTCGTTGTTGCGAGATGTAAACTATGGAAGGTCATCCTTACAGGCTGTTATTGATATGTACTAACAAACAAGCAGCCGCTTTGTAAATAAGATGTTTTATTGTAGGATTTCAACGTAATCCATCCGGAAAGGTTATGAACACTTTGGAGATGCCCCATGCGCATGCGTTCAACATAAAGTACATCAAATCGAACAAGCCGGTGGTCATTCGGGAGGCGATGAAACACCAACCAATTCTGAAGGAGTGGGAAAACGACGCATACTTAGAAAATAAGTAGGTTGTATTTATCAATGATAATGATAACCTCCAACAATCTGTATTGATTTAAATAGCAACCCGACTGTGTTGTCTTCTATCTTAGGATGCACGGTAGTCTAGTGGTAGGACGCCGGGCTTGTGACCGAAGGGTTGCGGGTTCGAGTCCCGTCACGTCACGGCAGTGTGTTGTATCTTTGAGCAAGATACTTTACACCACTTATTCCAGTCTACTCAAATGTAAATTAGCACGTGGTTGAGCGGTGCTAGAATTGTTGAATGCTAGCTGTGAGCGCCGAAACGGCAGCACCGGCTGTATGCTCCCCAGGGAGTTGAGAAATAGATATTGGCTAGTTGCAAAGGCCCTATAACCACGGATACTAATTTGTGTACCGCTTAGAGAAGAACCTCGAATTGTTGTTATTTTGTTTGTCATAACGTGGTGTTACGATATAAACTTTCATTCTCATAAAACGGTTATATATACAGGTAAAACCCTTAGTACCAAATTCATCAAATGGGGTCCACTGCATAAAAATATCTTATTAATTGAAAAACAGAGCTTTTCGCTTCATTTGGGTGGATATCACTCCTTTCCCCGGGATTATGAAATAATGCTGACAATCGATCAAGTTTAATTTGCTTAGTAATATTTCATTGTCATAAACAAATGAAATGTTATAAATATGCAGTGATTGTTGTTATATATCATTTCAAAATATTTTTGGTCTGTTTTTCAAGAAAGGTGTTTTTATGAAGTTCTAGGGCTGTTTCATGATATCGGGGCATAATTTGACCTATTAATCACTCCACTGGCTTGTGTTTATAAGAAGCACGTAACCGGTATTTTATCAAGAGCTGTACATATTTCAGTATAGAAATGAAGATATTAAGAAACATGATCCATTGTCTGGTAGATATGGCAAACTGAACGTCACAGTGACTGTGAAGAAGGAGAGAAGAGCTCACGAGTACCAATGGATGACAATGAAGAAGTTCCTCATGGATTATACGTACGAGGACTGGTACCTGTCAACCATAATTCCGCCGGAAATGGCCAAGGAGTTACCGGTAGGTCAATATGCCATTTTGCTGTTTAGCGGCCTTATATCATTTATAGCCGTTTGATGGTAAGATGATAACGAGCTTGTGCTGACTTAAGGAGGGCAGTTAAGAGGTTAAGATAAAAACGCAATAGGATCAAAATGTTTTAAACCATTTAAGGGGGCTCTAACGTCACACATTGGTTTCAAACATCTTTCATGGTTAAGCAACTTTCAATGGATGACCGTCTCTGGCTGCCGATTTTCCAGACGATAGTTATTGCTCTCAAGAGTTGTTTTTTTTAGTGTGTATATTGGGTACCACCTAATATGTAAGCAATACCACAAGAAAAACTCACCTTGCTTTAAAAACCTCGAAATGACCAACATTATAATTCAAACTTGTCATTCGTCTCGATAATTGTTTCAATGGCCTGGCTTCAGGATCTGGAAACAGTCCTGAAGTCTTGCATGTACAATTATATTCTGACAGGAAACTGAAATATTAGACGATATTCTCATCATCGCTTTTCCATTGGTGTTTATTGGCGCCTCTTGTAAATATTGGCGATCATAGAGGATATTGTTTAATCTCTGTAAATAGCAAACTATGTCACTGTCATATACATTTCAGCTATGAGTTCTAAATGCCAATGCCATAACTGGAATATTCCCCTGTAAGTTAATTGAAACTATAAGGTGTTTTCACGTTACCAACGTCCGATACTGATAGCCAATAAACCGTATTTGTTAAGACCTCCGCGCTAGACGTCATTCTCGTTTCTCTTCATTGGACCGAAAAACGGATGGAAAGTTTACTGAATTTTCCCTCTTTATCAAACATTGAGCTTAATTATTCAGTGGTAGATTATGCTGGTGGATTTCTTAGTCTCAGAATTTTGCTGTAACGTAGATGGCCAAAGTTATCTCCTTTGAAAAATGGCACGGTTCACTAATATAAACACTTTGCTCATTATTAATCTGAACTTGAACAGTACTCCTCTTATGTTTAAAACTATATAATTAATGTATTTTACGCACTTCCATTTCTGTTTTAACAGTAGATTAGACCTATTTGGATTGCTAACTGTTCGGCCCCGAGCATCACCGATGAGTCATAGTGGACGAAAGAGCTGTATGATGACATGTAATTCATTTTGGCATACTGTATGTATTACCTAATGTTAAAGGTACAATCACCTGTGTGTAAACAGCGTGAACTACATATGTATGTTTAATGCTTCAGGTGCCCGGATGTATGAGATGCGGAACTTACCGGAAGAGGCTACAGGAAGCGGAACTATGGATGAGTTCTGGGGGAACCGCTTCTATGCTTCACAGTCACGAAGATCATACTCTGCACTGCGTTTTATTCGGACGAAAAGACTTCATTGTAATCGAGGCTGAACATCGTAAACATTTCAACTACAAAGAAAAGGTAAACAGGAAAGAGTTTCTGTTTGTCTCGTTATGCTTTGCAGGTGTATTGGAATAGTATTGTTAACATTATATTTATCGTACAAGAAAATGTGATGGCGTACCGGGTTGGTTGGAAAGTTAGGGGGACACTGTGACTAATATTACGCATGATTGATTAAAGAATGACCGAGTTCTCTATAAACAGTGATAAAATGATATGTAATTGAGATATGGGCGGATTGGTCGAGTGGTTAACACTCCGGCATTTCACGCAGTCGGCCGGGGTTTGATACCCGTAGTCGTCGTACGGCATGTTTATTAAGAAAAAGTGTTTTGATCCTACACACACAACTCCGAACAACCCAGGTGGAGTGTAAATTGGTCTTGGGTGGAGGTTGCGATTACTGTGCTGTAGCATGTAATCGAGGTAGCACTATAATTGATACCGTTGGAAGCATTGTCCCACTACAAACAGAACACATTACATCTCGAGCACACACGCAGGCATACACACATATGGAGATATTAGCCAGGTGGCATAGGACTAGTAGTAAGCGCCTGATAAGGCAGCTCTTGCGAATTCCTCAAAATTGTATTGATTAATGTATACGCTAATTGTATATCTATGTACTGTAAAGCGCTTTAGAGCGGCGTATGTTAGCTAAATAGGGCGCTATATCAAATGTTATATAATATTCATATTGTATTATATTTTCCTGACATTTTACGATAACTGAAATGTAACAGTGACTTTGCAACGGCACATACCCCAGTTGTAAAGAAATATTTCTACCTAAAAGAGTTTTATTGTTTGGTCCCAACACCAGGGCTAACTACTGGTCGATGGTATTAACCGAGATTGTAATCCAGCAAGATACGTCATACTTGTAGTTTCCCCCTTGATGATGTACACCAATCAACTAGTTTGCTTTTAGACGAAAGCACTACAAATATGACCGACCTTTGATTGACACGTTTGAAACTTACAAATGGGTGAAATGATCTCATTATTTCCCCTTTCAGTACCACAATGCTGGTGCAGGGTACTCGCCATTAGACATGGACTTCATCAACATGTTCCAGAACTCTAACATCGCAAAGACGCCATGGACATACAGCACCCTCTCGCCGGGAGATTGTCTCTTTCTACCAGCAGGTACTATTTCACTCAAGAAACAAAATTATGCATGATAATGGAGTGTGATAAGAAATGTCAAAGAAACGTAGGAGAGTACTTGAAGTTGGCGCACGTAAATATTGAAATATTAAGCGTATATATCACACCCCAAAACTACCAAACATAGCTCAAATACTCGTTTTGAAATTGTTCCATATCACGTGATGTTGTTTTAGCCAATCACAGCTCCTACAGCTCTTTCAAAATGTATATTTTTTGCACTGCGTTATGTTTGAAGGATACATGCACCAGGTTCGTTCCTATGGCAGAGGGATGTCCTACACTGTTCTATTCGCCCCGTCTCTCGAGTTTGATTCCTCTGACTGTCGTCTGCCAGTAGCAAAAAAGGATGACAAACCAAGTATTCCATCATTGGCTGATGTTGACTTCGTCTGGACATCTCGAAATGGAGACAGGGTAAGCGTACATGTATAACCATAAATATTATGTTTTACGTCATAGATCATGTACATAACCTTTCCCCCCAAACTATCGTGCAGATAACTTGTGCTGGTATATTGTAAGTACTTTAATGAGCGAAAAAATGACGTTACGTCGAAAACACCACAAAAAGGGAAATAGGCAACATATGGGGAATAATAATATATGACGTCACAATCAGCCATTGACGGGGGAACATGTACAAATAAAACACCATGAATTACAAATGTCGTTACTTAATGTTTAGGATATGCCATTGATAAAACGAATAAAAATGATAATTCTCTACAGTAGGGGTTGAAATTCATAAATGGCTAACGCTAGGCTTGAAGCAAGCTTTGCGTTAGAAATAAGAAATATCACTCCTCGCGTTGAGATTTCGCCGTCATACTTGTAATGTTAAATATATTTTTTGTGCATTTGTATTTGTAAAGAAGTGAGAGAAGGAGTTCAGTGAGACATGTCATTCCAGATACTAAAATATCGCACTATAAGCGTAGGAAATAGACAGCCCTCTGACTATTTTACCTGGACAAGACAAAGGCCCATAACAGAGGTCGGTAAGAAGGCGAGGTCGACAAGTAGGAGCAGACGGCAGAGAAAAGATGTAATTTGTCCCCGTATTTGACATCACAAAAAAAAGGAAAAAAACATATTTCTAGACCTCCACATTAGTCGCCTCCTTTGAGTTTAAACATCGTTAATACAAAGGGTGTAAACAAGGATTAAATGTAAAGAAAAGTTAGATAAACAAAATTGATAATAAATCAGGTCAATTTATTTTCGCAGCTGTACAGAGTACCTTCAATGATTAACAATGGAAATGTTCTCCCGTTAAAAAAAAAAAGAGAAATAAAACATATGGAGGAAAATCTTAACAGATAACAAAACTACAACATGACATTTCATTTTAAATCTTAAATTTAATTGGGATTCTACTTTGAAAATTGAATACCAGACAACAATTTTAACTGAAAAAATCAGCGACAAACGAATACAAGCTGATGTCAAATCATGAACTCTAACAGAGGTCTGGTGACGTTAGAGTTATCTCCCATGCAGTGGTATCACAATTAAATTTCCAATGGGGTTACACAGCAAGTAAAATGTGTTAACTAGAATCATTTTACTTTAAAACAAAAAGAAAACAAAGAGGAAAACAAGCAAGGGCTTTAGAAACTTCATTGTACCATATTTAATGACATTGCCATATGACCGACATCATTGTAAACGATGAGTAACCTATAAAAGGAAATTAGTTTTTACTAGATAATGTTGAATCACACAGTCAAATTCATAGAATAGGCAGGGGCTGGTGTGGCTGGAGGCGGCACAGTACCACACTTCCGGTCCTGACTTGGTTATTCTGTACGATGAGTGTTTGGTTAAGGCATTATTAGGCATAGGAGCCGTCTGTTCTTCGTCTGCTGGGTAACCGAACTACTCGGTAGTGAAGCGGACGTAAAACCTATCAATCAATCAATCAAGCTATATTTACAGATTTATAACATTTTTTTATTCGTAAATTCTCCAAAATTTGGGGCCTGATCATATAGCTATGATATATAATTCCTGAAAAGAAAATCGTACCCTGCTGGAATGTGATGAAAGAAATAGAGATGAAATAATCGTAACAAAAATCAAAAACAGTGTTCGAAGTTTAAAAAGGATTGGAACCCTGGATTTCAAATTAACATATTATCGTCTTAACAAATTGTGCGATCTGGGCAACGGAAGTGCCGTGGCCCAATGGCTTAACCGTTTTATTCTAAACGTATCGGTTATTCCAAATGTACAATTTAACAGACTATCTGCAACGGAGGAGAGCTATATTGTACCTCAAACGGCACCAATCCCCAAACCGCCACGTTACATAAATCAGGGTCTAAACTAATGAGATTGACGAGAAGCGTGAATTGATTTGTTGATATATCCATACCACTTCTGTTAAATGGATGACCGGGAAGATGCTTAAAAGGGATAAATGCGATAGACAAATTTTACTAGATTGTGTAAGGTTTTGAGAAATTACAGCCTAGTATCGAACGCAGATCTGATAGAACTCGATTCAATTTTTTTGATATTTGTACTAAGCCATCAACCATCTTGCCCATCCGACGTTAGGATGTAGTCTATATTTATACTTTAACAGGTGTTAGACGCTGACAAGATGAGCCCCACTATGTTAACTCATATCTTGGACATGCTAATCAGGGACAAGGACAAACTGCATAAAGAGCAGTTCGAACATTTCTACCTCGACGCCCTGCAAAAGGTAAGTGTTATACAAACGGTATAGATGACAAGGTCGGTTGTGGCCCTGAGGACCAGCACACCGCTATCTATGACAGTACATTTCTACCTCGACGCCCTGCAAAAGGTAAGTGTTATACAAACGGTATAGGTGACAAGATCGGCTGTGGCCCTGAGGACTTGCACACCGCTATCAATCACAGTACATTTCTAGTTATAGTGCGTGCATTGCGTGGTTGTCATGGTAATTACTGACGTCATTTAGTGTGTATGAAACTTGGTTAGCTTCATAGATACAAACAAACGGTATAGATGATAAGGTCGGCTGTGGCCCTGAGGACTACCACACCGCTATCTATGACAGTACATTTCTAACTTGACGCCCTGCAAAAGGTAGGTGTGAAACAAACGGTATAGGTGACAAGGTCGGCTATGGCCCTGAGGACTAGCACACCGCTATCTATCACAGTACATTTCTAACTCGACGCACTGCAAAAGGTAAGTGTTATACAAACGGTATAGGTGACAAGGTCGGCTGTGGCCCTGAGGACTAGCACACCGTTATCTATCACAGTACATTTCTAGATAAAGTGCGTGCATCGCGTGGTTGTCATGGTAATTAATGACGTCATTTAGTGTGTATGAAACTTGGTTAGCTTCATAGATACAAACAAACGGTATAGGTGACAAGGTCGGCTGTGGCCCTGAGGACTAGCACACCGCTATCTATCACAGTACATTTCTAACTCGACGCACTGCAAAAGGTAAGTGTTATACAAACGGTATAGGTGACAAGGTCGGCTGTGGCCCTGAGGACGACCACACCGCTATCTATGACAGTACATTTCTACCTCGACCCCCTGCAAAAGCTAAGTGTTATACAAACGGTATAGGTGACAAGGTCGGCTGTCGCGATGAGGACTACCACACCGCTATCTATGACAGTACATTTCTAACTTGACCCCCTGCAAAAGGTAGGTGTGAAACAAACGGAATAGGTGACAAGGTCGGCTGTGGCGCTGAGGACGACCACACCGCTATCTATGATAGTACATTTCTACCTCGACCCCCTGCAAAAGGTAAGTGTGAAACAAACGGTATAGGTGACAAGGTCGGCTGAGGCGCTGAGGACTACCACACCGCTATCTATGACAGTACATTTCTACCTCGACGCCCAGCAAAAAGTATGAGTGAAACAAACGGTATAGGTGACAAGGTCGGCTGTGGCGCTGAGGACTACCACACCGCTATCTATGACAGTACATTTCTAGATATAGTGCGTGCATTGCGTGGTTGTCATGGTAATTACTGACGTCATGTAGTGTGTATGAAACTTGGTTAGCTTCATAAATACCAACAAAATTACTCTAGTGTTTTTTTGTATAGGTATTATGAGTCCTGCTGCTTAGGACAAAAACAAAGAAAAACCTTTAGCGATTGGATTGTATCCCCCTTATAACATTCATAGTTTAAATAAATACCACTTTCATTGAACTTCAGTTGTGTTATCAACGAAGCACAACTCTAGGTAGTCAAACAAAAAGGACGACTTATTTTGTACGATTCCTGGTTTGGCGTCAGTGAAAGCTGTCGCGATACTCTTGTTTATCTGTTTTAAGCACAGTTCTTGGTATAAAAAAGTGTGTAAGTTGCTGTGGCATGCATCTCTTTCACAAAATACATTCACAGAAAGTAACCTACAAAATATCTGACATGGCTTTTATGACTATGATGATGAATTGGTGACTTTAAAAACTACACAAGAATTGATGACACATTAAAAAGATGTACACAAACTAATGACACATTTGAAAGGTACACACAATTCGATGACACATTTTAAAGGTACAGTTATGTTCACATTTGAAAAATTACATAAGATTAATCAATTTTACAAAAACTTTGACTTTATTTGGTATCATAATCGAATTCAACAACATTATGAAATGCAATTCGAGAAGAAACTATGCTTTTATATTACGTTAAGGTTCTGTTCTGAACAAATGAAGAAATCTAAATGAAAAATAAAATGTTAACTTCTTTCGAAAATGTCATTTACTATTAAACATGTTTTGTTTTATTTTCTATTAAAAGGCGTACAATTACCCACCTGCTAAGACAGCTTTCGAGATCCTAACGGGAAATCCAGGGAAAAAGTTCATCACGAGGACGGAAATAAGAAACTTGAAACTGGAGCAGTTACAGAGACTGTGTATACTGTACAATGACGCTTTTCTAGAACCTACATTTAACAAAGAGGAACTGTAAACAAAGGAAATATAATATTTTATAAACAGTTCTGTCAAGTTTGTATAAAGTAATATTGATAAAAAAGAGACATAATCTCATTGTACGTTATATAATGTTAGACCACTATAAGCAATGCACGTGTAATCCAAGAATAAAACAGAAAGAGCCATATTTGAAAGATACAAACTCATCTAACAACCACATTTTCTTATTAACTATTTCGTCCATTTTAGTCATCATTATTTTTTCAGAAATCTACTACTGAATTCCACATATCTGTTTTCAATTACACAGTCATACTTTTTACCTCATCTCTCCGTAACTTGAATAATCTGGAAAATTCTGCTTAATCTACAAAGGCCTACAATGAACTGATTGGAATCTACAGTTAACATTTTGTGGCCCAATTTATGTCATTCAGAAATTCACTATTTCACAATGAAAGCTATATTCAAAATGTAGCCCTCTAAAATACGATTTATTTCAAGAGTATCTGTTCAAAGATATGGACAAACTTTTTATTTTATTTTACAACAATTATGAAACAAGTAAGTTCAACTTATATGAATCACTCCTGTTGGCCCAGATGTCAGCTCGTGGGGGGGGTTTAATGTGGGAGGACACCGGAGAACCCGGGAAAAACCCCACGTGGTCGGGCATGTGACCCCATACCTTTTCACGTCCTATAGGAGAATCGAACCCCGGCCGCCTTGGTGAAAGACAGTTGCGCGTTCAGCTGCGCCATCCGAGCACCTGAGCATTAGTCTGGCACACAGTAGTAAACATCAATATAAGAATGGTGATAACAATGTTCCGGAGTGTCAGTATCATAAAGATTTGTAAAACATTATTTTGTTTAGAAGACATGCTTTTAAAATATATATCATTAATTCAAACCTTTTACAAAATGGAAATCGTTGACGCCACATTAGGAACCCTATAGACACGTACAGATTTCACGAAAGTCAAAAGGAATTTAATACAGAAATTAATAATTTACAATTTATATCATTCATATATGTTATTTGCATTCCCTATATTTTTTTATATAAGAGAGAAAGTCGTTCCTAAGTAGAATGAACGTGTGTCTCATTCTCGTCACTAAAGTGCAGATAATAAATATGTTTAAATACAAATGAGCTGTGATTCTGTTTATGTAGTGCTGCTGTGGTAAATATTCCTAGCATTTTACTGAAACCAAGTTTGACATGGAACATCAAGCTCTGCACTTTTAAACATTGGCTCTAAAACCTCCTTGTCATCACATCCTTAACAGTGATGTACATACAGCCTAATTAGAAGCCACACTCTGCCTTAAAAACATAACTCGGCGATATGTTCTTCCATCGCCGTCATACACTCCCTAGCACTTTATCCATCATGAAGGGAGACTTCGTACGTCATGCTGCGTTTAGTCTGTTGCTAACTAGACTTGGTTTTTTCTACATTGTCTAGCTTTCTTAATGTAAATTCTTCGTCTGAAGTGTTTATCGCTTTTATTTTTTATCTACCATTTGTTTATGTTTCATTACGCAACAGGCCTAATTTTCATTTAGAAATGAAGCCATGCTCTCCGCACAGAGATAGTTCTATCCCATATAGATATAATCTAGTAACCCGAACATTAAAATCTATCACATCTAATTAGTATTAATGCGTCAAATCCTTACGCCTTGAAATTTATTATGTTGCCCATATAATCTTCAAATTGTAAAAAAAATACGTTCTATTGAACATGACAATATACATATCTGATAGAAGATGATACTCCGCATAAATATTTTCAAATTACCAGTGCCCTGTGGATGCATTGTACACGTATGATCTTTAAGTATACATTTTAAACCTTTCAGTAGTAATGAGACAAGCCAAATATAAAACTATGATCATATATTAATATAACTTAACTTAATGTAAATCGTATGACATCCAGAACAGTTAGCATGGGCAACACAATTAATTTTGTTGTCATAGCATTAAAATAAATAAACTAAAACACGAATACCACAAATAACATTTAAGTACGTACAGCTTGTCCATTAAATAAAAGAAGTACTCTTTGAACGTTGTCGACTTCCCTTTGGCAACTTTCCTAATGATCTATTTTCTTTCCTTTTTTTTCACTCAGAAAAAAAATGTAAATTTTCAGCAATTTCGTTAATGACATGAAATGCCATTCTTGTTATTTTGTTTAATACTTTATAGATATTTTTCCAACCGAAAACGAGGTTATTTTATCTGATCGACAGACACACATAAACACAACGGCGTGCATGTTCTGTGTACATGTTTGCAGCACGTATATGTGTGATCCTAACGATCTTTATTTCACGTGTCTCCAGTAAAACAAATTGGTACACTGACAAGCGATATCTTTGCCGAAGTCTATGACATCAATACTATATATCTGTTCATTTTTTCAATACATTTAAATCGACAATTGTAAAAGCTCGAAGCAAGCTGTCAATTAATACGGTTGTACGCATATACCAGCACAGCGGGAGGGTTCCACATAGAGCTACTGTTTTAATTCGGATTTCTTCCTTCTGTTTAGTAGATGAAGCGACCTAACATGAGCAGAATACCTGGTCAAATTATGTACCTTCAATGTTTATTGTTTTTAAAACGTTTTAACAGCCATACATTAAACATTCATTAAAGGCCACACTTGTAACATGTAGGCATTAAAGAGCTGAGTTCGACCCCTGATTATGTTTTTATTTTTAGCGTAAAGGTTCAAATAAGAGCTACAGAAATACTGTAAATTGCATAACATCGTGTGATTTATATGAAATACTTCTTTTGCTATGAACATTTTTTTCACAATAATGAAAATGGTAATAAGATAGTTGTTTAATTTGTTGGTACTCTTTCTGTGGTGCTTTGTACTTGTTATGTTTTGGTGTAGCAATTTTGGGAGGTAACTAAAACAGAAGCTTTCAACTCGATCACGAAGTTACTGGTGATGATACTGACACATTCGTCATCGCTAACTTTTTACAGGACAGCAATACCTTTACCAGAAATAGAACAAAGCAGTACAATTTTTCTTCACCAGGTCGCATGTTTGTCAATGTAGAAGCTGTTGTAGTGAGATCAACTAGACGCAAACATGATCTGAACATTTCAGATTGTAAAGACCTCTCTCCGCTTATTTTCGACCATAATAATAATAACAATAATAATTCGAGTTCCTTATATACCCTTTTTTCACCACCTAGTTCGTAGGTCGTGTCAAAGCGGTTCACAAATTAGTATCCGTTGTTAAAGGGCCGTTGTAACCAGCACATCGTTCTCAACTCCCTGGGGAGCATACAGCCGGTGCTGCCATTTCGACGCTCACAGCTAGAATAGTTAAAATCTAATTCTTTTAGTGGTTTCCCTAAAGACAAGCATCGTCAGTCTATCAACATTGAATCCCGTTATCAAACTACCCAGAAGGATTTTCCGTCTCATTTTCGAGAACGAAGATGATCGAATTGAGGAGGGCAATCTTCATATTGTAAAACTGTATATTTTCGACAAAATATTGGACACGGATGCTTGTCTAAAAACAACGTCATTTATCTCTGTTTATTTTCTTAACCACTTCGTTTCGGCATGCAGATTTGTTGTTGAAGAGTTCTCGCAAAATAAACATACCCTTTACACATTGTTGAGATGCATGTACATACACAGATTTATGGGAAACAAATCTATTATTTCTTATGATTTCATTTCAAAGACACACTTGCTCTAACGAACAACAACAATTGCTTGTTATTTGTTGGCAAAGGAGCAACAATTTGCATTGAATTGTTCAAATGTATGACGCCCTCAGCTTTGTGGATTTAGAGGTTATTTCATATTACCTAAAACTAAAGAATAATTACATATGGTATTGAGGAAGACCTCGTGGCGGTACATATGGCACGACGTGGAGGCAGTAAAACTGTTTAAAGAATACAGCAGTAAAGACATCTTACTATTTAAACTCCGACTTCAGTTTTATATTATGGAACGTGATCCACACCACTTCTATTTCCGTTCTTTCGGCACGACAAGATTATGAAGGTGGCTGGACTATCCACTGATAATGTAGGTGACTGGATTATCCACTGATTATAAAGGTCACTGTATTATCTACTGATTATAAAGGTCACTGTATTATCTACTGATTATAAAGGTGACTGTATTATCTACTGATAATGAAGGTGACTGGATTATCTACTGATAATGAAGATTACTGGATTATCTACTGATAATGAAGGTGACTGGATTATCCATTGATAATGAAGGTGACTGGATTATCTACTGATAATGAAGATGATTGGATTATCCATTGATAATGAAGATGACTGGATTATCTACTGATAATGAAGATGACTGGATTATCTATTGATAATGAAGGTGTCTGGATTATTTATTGGTAATGAAGGTGACTGAATTATTTATTGATAATGAAGGTGACTGGATTATCTATTGATAATGAAGGTGACTGGATTATCTACTAATAAGGAAGGTGACTGGATTATCTATTGATTATAAAGGTGGCTGGATTATCTACCGATAATGAAGGTGGCTGGATTATCTACCGATAATAAAGGTGGCAGGATGATGTACTTGGAATTAAGAATCAAAAGATCAAAATACATATTTTTATGACGTCGTACACAAAGTATCACTCCTGAAACCAGGTCTTTTGATATCATTAATCTTAGCATTATACTCGATTTTAGATCAGGAGACATGGAAATATTCCCGATGAGTAGTGGAGATCGAACCTCATCACCGTAATTAATTAAGAGACGCCCGCGGGGAACATACAATATGGCATTTGATTCATCAAAAATTAAATCTTTCCGCCATTCATAAAAATTATATTATTGCTGTAAATAAAAATAATACATGGTTTGTGCTGTTGGTTTTTGCTTTCTAGATTTGAATTTTGATTATAAAAGTTTAACGTGCATTGAACATGCTGATAAATATGTTTAACATATAATCATTTAATTGTGATGTCATAGCAAAATACAGAAACCGCCTACCGTGTGTAGTATATGGAAAGGAATCGTTCTGAGAAGAAATAGTAAGCTTATCTTAACGCACATGTATAGCTCTATGACAGCAAATTATATATTTGATCGTGAACAATGTCCCACCATTATGTAAGCAGTTGCCTATGTTTTTTGTCATACATTACCTCGTCTTCATATGACCTTAACTAAACCCCAAACAAACACAAATGTCATGTTTTGCAAATATATCGATGACAACTGATCTGTAGCCAAAGCCCTCCCTAGCTGCGTTCGTATTTACAATGAGAGTAGTTCAATAAGTTATCTATTATTGTTGTACAGGCCACAACGCTTGATAAATAAAGCGCTTTGGGGTTATTTTACAAATTATAGAGGGCGCTTCATGTATTTAAATGTTGTATATTATTATTATTATTAAATACTTGATGAAATGTTCAAAAAATATATCTGCGGTAATAAAAGTTGAATGGAAATACTCCGAAGCGTGAAGGATTATGACAGAACGTACCTTTATATCTTATTTTTGTATTGATGTAGTTTTTATTTTCTTCTTTATCACATCGACAGCTAGGTATTCTAAAACAACATTATTTTCACTCATGCAGTAAACACTGTACGGATGTCACCCTTGATTAAAGGTAATAACAGAAATAGAATACAGATTTGGTAATAGTTTGATTGATCAATTGGCAGATGCGGCAATAAAATATTGTTGATGAGGATTCTTTTGAAATTTCGGGGTCAAACACAAAAATGCATGTACATATTTTTGTCATTGACTGGTATTAAAGAATACAGAATCAAGATAAGCTAGTACTTTGTCTTTTGAAAAAATGGAGCAGGATTTTCTTTGTTATCAAGCAAGCCTTGTTATTTTTGTAAGCTGTATAATCAACAGTGCTAGCAGACAATTACCAAGTTATTAGTTACCTACATAGCCCTATTTTTATCTTGCGGATACTTGTGGGTGGTTGCGATGTCGGAGTCAAGAAATAAAGACTTGTGTTTCTATTTCATTTCTGATTTTAAGCTGCTAAGTTCTATTTGTATGGACCCAATAGTTTGAGCTACCGAGTGTCTCCTCAATAGAGGCTTATTGTATAGGACAAGTAACATTTATAGCAAATGAACGTCCAAACTTTTGTCTCCAGTTGTTGCTATTTAAAATATAATTACATGAGTTATTTATATTGTTAATATGCGATAAACATTAAAACAATTAAAATGTTTCCACGATCTTTTATTTTGTCCAGGAAAAATATAATATTTTTACGCAGATTTGTCATAGATAGATGACCCAGCTGTTTCTGTTGGTATGTATGGTCAGGTTTTACTTGACTAGACTACGTCAAACCAAGACATGTTAGTTTAACCACACAAAAAAACGTTTTTATAACCAATAATATGTTCAAGTATAAATGTGAACTATGCTTTAACCATACATTAGCATTTATTTTGTTTTGGAAAAATAAGCCATTTCCACCAGAAAACAACTTTGATAAACCCCAAACATTTTAATTGGTTTGAAAAATATTTATTTATGATATGTCCGAAAGCTGATGAAACATTGAAACTGTATTTCCTGTTCTGGACAGCAGGACATCGCTCAGTAACTGACACGTCCGTTATACCATTACGATAAAAGCCAACACTGACGAGAGTGTAAATCTCCAGAATGAAACATGTGGTGAAACATGTCGACAACTATATACATTAATACTATGACATTTACAATTAACGTTAATTACTTAAGTCACAAATGACTTCTGACACACCTGAATGGTGACACAATGGCGCAACACCGTGCTATATTTTAAGTGACATGCGATTTATTTACATGTAATACAAGTCAACCAATCTGACTGGTAGACAGCGGTCATTACCCCTGTTCCAAATGTGTCGGCAAGCTAGTGTTTAATTGTGTAGGAGATGATGTGATTTTCAAAATTTGAAAAATTAGGTAATATGTTATATGTATTCTGCATTATCAATTCACAATTAAAGACAATCTGCTGTACCCATAGCAACATTTGGATTTTTATATGTTTCTCTCCTGAGTGACTTCCTTGTGTTTCCTAGTGCCTTGCTTTGCAATACCTCACTTTTGGCTTGAATGTTTCTGTCCTAATACCGACATACCAAAGCACTTAAACTAGTAGTTTTCCTGCATAATGTTCAGCTTTCAGGGTAACTGCAGCAACTGGTTCTCCCGTTGTCAGTATGATGTGACCGGTGGAATGCTGTACTGGTTCACCCGTTGTCAGTATAATGTGACC